CACATGTGTCTGTGAACTGGACTGGGAAAGATTAGCAGTGACTTAGCTAATTAGCATTTAAATGTCCGCTAATGTTCCAATGAGTTTGTCATTTGAAATCTTGTTAAAATAGATGTGATACGTTCTATAGTAATGAAATTTAAAGAAGATGCTGTTTCAGTGGCTCACATTTTTTTCTCTCTAATCTAGAAAAAGCAATTTTACTGTCTCATATGATTTGTTTTAAAATGTTGGCTGGTCATGTGTTTTTGTTATTTCTTTTTTTTTGTAAAATGACATTTTATAATATAACACCAAGGTGGCAGGTAATAAACCAGATTTTTTGTCTTTTGTTGTTGTTGTGTAAATAGTGCTATTTGAAGTTACCTTTTTTCCACATTTAAAAGGATTATTTTTGCATTCTAGCAAGCTTTTTTTCTAAATAACAGTAATGCAAATTACATTTTCATATTTGTTGCACACTTGGATGTTTGTTTCAAATATCAAGCAGATGTTTTATTTCCTTGGTGCCCTAATCCTTTGAAACATCCACCACCAAATGGCCTCAGACATCTTTCATTTCATTTGTGCCCAGTAATTGGACCATGAATCCAGCTTTTATAGCCGACAAGTTTTGGCTTAATTAATCTAAAAGTTCAACATGGAGTAGATTCCTAAGCATTTTAGACACCATCTTGATTTTGTTCCCTGATGCTGGTAGCATAGTGAGAGTGCATTATCATAGTATCATCACATTCTATGTGGTCAGGTATGCTGAGGGTGAGCCAGACAGGTTGTCTTTAAGCCTGACATGCTTGATGCCAGGCTGATACAACCCTCGCACTATTGAACCATGGGTGAACTCAGACAGGCTTGCTACTATGGCATTGCCAGTAACTCAAGTTGCCTCACTGGAGAAGTTCCCCCTCAGGGCCTGCCCACCTGTCCCAATCTCTTACCTCCCATTGTTGGAAGGTATTTAATTGATAGATAGCTGAGGCCATTGCTACTCTTAGAAGCCAACAAACAATTTACTTGGTTTGTTGCCTACTGTCACTTAGCATGTTCTAGGTATCATTTTGATGACATGACATCTGTTTCCTCTGAACTGGTTATGTATCCAAACTAACATCTATAACACTAAAGGCTAAACCTATCAGTCCTAATGGCGTAGTCAGGTAAGGCTGGACTACTGTTCTGAGGCTCACGGGGATTTCCTGTATGACAGCCCCCGACTTTGAAAGTATAATTAAAAAAAAATCAAACCACAGTCTTAATGTCCAACACAAGACAGGATTTCACATCCAAATACTGATTATTAATACAAAAGTTCAAGAAAAGCAAGAATATGCCATCAAAAAACTATGTGAAGTAATACAATGTGAGCAGGACATTACTTCCCTGCAGAGGGATACAGATAGATTGGGGGAATTTACATAATATTCAGGAATATCATGTTTAAGTTGTGGGGTAATAGCTTCTTGTTCCAAGTAGAGATCTGACTGCTTGGGGTTAAGATGTATTTTTTTTCTTAGTATGTTGCAAAATTGGAAAGCACTTCAAACTGGGGTTTTTTTTTTCTGCCTTCTTATGGATCAACCGCAAAAACAGATTTGAGAAAGGCTGAACTTGATAGACACATGTTTCTTTTCAGCCTATGTAACTATGCAACTATTATGTCTCACTTGTGTGAAGCTGTGGAGAATTGTGGCCTCCTCCTCTGGGCCTGGCAAACGTGGCCTATATCACTACTTCTAGAATTTGAATATTTTGGATATTTGTGATGTTCATGTACAGTATGTTTAAAACACAGTAAAATTCAGCTAAAGTTACGTTATAAATGTTTGATATGGACACACTAAATTGTATGTAGTTTTTACTATCCCACCGCTTACTTGGGGTGGGTTCTTTCCAGTCATAAGCAGTTTTTGTGCTTATTGTGTTTTTGTAATTTTATCAATATTTATGCAAATATAAAACTTTTGCAGATAAGCACAACCAATAGCCATGTTGCCTCTATCAAACCTACAGGAAAGATGAGTTCTCCATCCAACATTTCTACCAGTAGTTCTGCCATTCAGTGTTACTTCAACTGGTCATTGGATATTCACTGTGCTTTTATAATGAGTTATATGACTTGTTGTGAAGTTACAGGTTGTTATACCAAGAGTGCCATAGTAGTCCTATCTTTCTGGTAAGCAATACCTTACACCCACCACCCAAAACTGGACAATGAGATCAGGTGCAACTACAGAGGAGGCATCAAGGTGAGTGCTCTCCTCTAGACTTCAGACAAGTACCCACTTGGGAATCTGCATTTCATTTCATTTACATGTTGCAGTATGATGGTTTTGCACTGTTGAAAGCAGGGCAAGAAGAATGACTGCATGTAGTTCTAAATTTTACCTAGATGATATAGTTACTGCTGTGTGCTTCATGGAATATGTCACATGTACAGACTACTGTCTACTCTGCCTACTGACAAATATTTTCCTGAGCGCATAAACTATGAATAATACTAAAGGTGAAATATGTTGGCTTGAGTGATAGCTACTAACCACTAGATAGAAATCCAAGCACACTATCTCGTAGCTAAAGGTGCAATGTCCAGGAGGGGAAACTCAACCTTTTATTTATTAAAAGTCAAGGTAATTAGTATAATTAAGTTAATTATTAATAGTATGCAGAAATCAGGACATATTTGATATTCAGCAAAGGCCAAATAAACTCTTTCTGTTGTTTAATCCTTAATATGACTAAAAAGGCTGTAATGTAAAAATATTTTGGAGTACATGGAATACATTTCTGAGTGTTATTCTATGGTGCACTGGCTTTGCATATCTTCTTGAGTTGTGTTTCAAAGCTGTTGTATACAGCAAACACAGACTCAAAGGAATCCATGTTTAAAATGGATAATGAGGCAAAAATGGGATTCTTTGTTGAACTAATTTGCATATGCCCATCTAGAATCCCTTGTAGTAGTAACATGACTCTCCAGATCTGTGTTTAACAATGTATTGATTATACACACCCTGATTACACACATTATACACAGTGATTATACACACACACCCTACCGCCCCATGTCCCCCACACACACACTCTGCTGCCCCATGCCCCCCTCAGATACAATCTGTTGCACCAATTCCCCCTCACACACACAAAGTTACGATCATTGCGTGGGATAGGCATAAGGCTATCCTAACTATAAGATAAGACTAGGGACTAATGAAAGTATTTAGAAAATTGGGCAGACTAGATGGGCCGAATGGTTCTTATCTGCCGTCACATTCTATGTTTCTATGTTTCTATTATATTCAGGATTTATGCATTTACTGCTCATTGTCATGATATGCCAAGTGTATGCATTTACTGCTCATTGATATGATATACCAAGTTTATGCATTTACTTTTTATTGGCATGAAATATTAAGTTTATATATTTAATCGTGATGGTATCCCAAATTTTTGTATCTGTATGTATTTATCATTGGCATGATATATATATATGCGATATATATATGCGTTTACTGCACATTGACTTGAAATACAAGGTTTATTTAATTAATACATTAATGGCATTCCCTTGCCGCCTATGGTATATGTGTGTGACTGTATCGATGTGCTTGTAAGTGAGTGTTTGCGTGCATTAATGGAGGGGGGTCCGGTGGAGTTGGAAACATATGAAAATCCGAAACTGGTTATTGACATTTTTTCAGTCCCATTACTGATTATACTGTATATTAATAACGTATGCTTGCATGTATTTTTGTCTGCCAATCTCTATATCCTGCTTATAAAACTAGAATAAATACAGATATTTTGCCTGAGGTGATCCCATTCTTGTGATGACAGTCACTGAACACTCCATAGACATTTACTAGTAGATATACCTCAACTTAAAACTTGCATGCATTAACTTGTGCATTTTTTCATTTGGTGTATATCTAAAACCAGCTTGAAAAAACTGTGAATATCCTGTCAGTAGCCTTTGCAAGCCCTTCCCTTCAAACCCCTCCCAAACTTTCTGTGGTTGTCCAATCAGATTTTCCAATGATGTTCAATGAGAAGTGTTTGCAAGGCAGGTGCTGTGAGCAATTACTTGCTTCAATGCTTTCTGAAGTATCAGGAATGCTCGTCTGATTGGCAACCAGGGGGTGTAACAAGGTTATATTATAAAAGTGTACATTTTTTTATTGAAATCTTCACACTGTACTTTTTTCATTGTTAAATGAAAAAAGAGGACACACTCTTCACACATAAAGCACTTCAGCAAGCTAACATTCTTAAAGGGTCTGGAGTGTCCCCTAAGCCATTATCTCAAGTATTATTCATTACGTTAATGAAAGCATACTGCTGAATATACATACATACCAATTTTTGTCAACCATTTTCACTTGCATTCTTTTTGCCACTCTCCTATGCAGCTTTGTGGAACAGGATCTCTTTTCAGCTAGCATAGCACATATATCAATTAAACTAGATTTAATGCATATAAACAGAAAATAATGCTTTCATTTTATAAAATCTTTCACCATTCTAATTGTTCTGGCACAGAAAACCTAGACAAAATAATATAGCATATTCAATTGATAATCTTATATCCTCTCAGTAGTTTTTATTTTATTCTGTTCTCCCTGAGTGCATGGTGGGCATTTTTGCATAATTCAAACTCGGACAAGATTAATCTCTAAACTGGATATTATCAGAAACTAACCAATGTGCTGTTACTGACAAAACACTCACTCGCTATATTAAAGTAACATTGAAAACGCGTTTCATGATGCAGAGTATAGCCCTCTTCTCTTTCTTGCTGAGCAGGATGCTGGGACTTTAAAAGGCAATATGTAGAATTCCCAAATCCCCATTGGTTGTTGAAATTGCAGGGGGGAGGGGGATTCCAATCTAGAAACTTTTTTACAGGGTTCTAAATTGCAATGCAGTTTCTCCTTCACTTTGATTATTGTTTATTAGGATGAGTACAGATTGAGAACGAGACTTGTTTGTGTACAATATAGATATTTTTTATTTCTAAAGGTAGGACATTAAATAGACTCACATTATAATTAAAGAGCAGGACATGTCCATTATTATTAGTATTTTCAAAGACAAGTGACACTTAATAAATCAGAATTTGCCCAATATGCCCCAGTAAGTTTCATACAACAGTGACCCTAAAACACAATGTTTTATAATTGTTATAAATAAAGTCATTACTCACATTGAAGGCTTTTGCTCTGCATGAGTATCTAAATCGGTAAAATAATGCATAATGTGAGGAGTGTATGAATGTACAGGAGCAAATTGTAAAATATTGAAACCATGTGATAAGTTATTAACATGCTGTTTTTTTTGCTAATCCATAATTCACCATACAAATGCACATTTTAAGGTAAATTAAGTTTTAAGTAATCTTGAGTTCCGCTATGTTTCTAACTTGACTAAGCTGTACTAAACTTTAAAATTATCTGATCAATTCTCCATAATTGCCAGTTTAGTAAATAATACCGATAATTTTTTAGCAAGTAGCGATACAATTGTACAATACTTAGTTGCAGAATAGCAAAATGAGTAATGTATTCTAACACTTTTCTTTTTGGTAATAGAACCATGGTGGTGGATCATCATCTTCCAAGAACATTTTTCTGTTTTGGTCTGGAAACCCATACATTCACATCAAAAAACATGACAGATCTGAAATCAATAAAGAGACATTTTAAAGACACTAATCAAAGTATATCAAGATTACAGTGCTAATTATATATATGCAGATCTAATACTAAAACTATACTGTCATGTTAACTGAAGGTTAATAATATTAATATTGAAGATTTATATTGCAATTAGCATCCTACTTTCTGAACAGTGAATTTTAAAACATTATGCATTTTAACATTGTTGCTAAAAGGCATAATACACATTATTGTTTAGTTATACATTCTTAAAGGGCAACTAACCATCATGACATTTTCATTACTCCTTAAACAAAGTTGATTACTTTTTTTTAATAGAAAATGTCACTTTCTTATTTGTCTGAGCAGCAATGTTGGGTCACACTCTACTGTTATCTGGCCAACTGCTGCTCAGCCTAACTAGTAAGTTTTTAAACTAAAATATTTAATATTGGGATACACGTTTATGCATATATTTGGTATCAAAATGTCTATTAAAATGTAGACAAAAATCTTTGTTATCTGTAAATGATATAGTGGTACATACTAATTTTAGATGGAAGGTATTTATTACAACATAAGTAAAGGTAAATATCATGCATTTCAATAGGATGTGGAATTCTAAAACATATGGGTATGATTTGAAACGGGAAAGTGAAAAAAAGTGTTTCACATTTGCACAAAGCTATTCTGTAAAACAAATAAGTAAAACAATGCTCCCTACTGATGGGTCAATCGTGTGTTATCTTAGAAACATCAGTTAGAATGCTGATGTTAAAGTGAACTGAAGGACGCAAGCTACCATACCAGAATTGTATAATAGAAGTTCAGGAACTATCCGGGTAGATGATAACTGTGACCTTAAACATGATTGTGATTTTGGCGGTTACATAGAAATTAGATTTAAATAAACCATTAACTAACCGCCACACTAAGGCCTCACACACAATCACCATGTCACATCACCCCTAACACACAGTCACCGTGTCAAAGTCGGTCAATCCCCACACTAAATCCTCACACACAATCACATTGCCACTGTCACCACATACTTACCTTCTCATATACAGTCACCATGTCACAGTCACCCACCACACTAATTCCTCACACACAGTCAGCATGGCATAGTCACTCATCAGACTTACACATCACACACAATCACACTGCCAAAGTCAGCCTGTCACACTCACTTTATCACAACCGACCTGTCACAGTCACCCTCATAAACACATAGGCAGCCTTATGCACAGGCACCACATGGGTCGTCTTTAACGCGGGGCAAAAGGGGCAGCTGCCCCGGACCCAGTTGCTCCCAGGGGGCCCAAGGCAGCTGCCTCTTGAGCCCACAATAATATACTACATAATTTTTTTGCCACCCGAGTCCTTCACTATGCGAGCGGCATCGCCACATAGTGAAGGAGTCGAAGGACTTAATTGCTCCTCCTCCTCCGACCTCCTCCAGTCACTCCTGACCTCCACTGCCTTTTGCTTATGTGCGTTGCCGTGACGTCATGGGGCAACACTAGGTTGAGCCCAGTCTCACCCAACTGCAGAGCGGCGCCGCACACCATGAATCCTGAGCCCAGGCCCCAGAGCACTGATCCCTGAGCCTGCTGCCTGCTGTCTTCAGAACTGTAAGTACTTAAATACAGTAATTCACTGAATATATATTACTTGGTTGTTTTATGGGGGTAAGAGGCCGGGGTGGTTGGAGGGTGGAGGATTAGGGAGGGGTGGTTGGAGAAGGTGGGGTTGAGGGGTTAGTACTGTACTATCTTTATCTACACATTGTTTAAATAAATAAAAGTAATCTGTAAAATACAAAGTATTTGTGCCAGAAGTTGTGCTTTTTTAGAATAATGATACAGCCATTTTATTTAATACATTTATGCTAATTTCATTGCTGGTTGGAGAGGAATGAGGGGCAGTATTACACAATCTGTATATGTACCAAAAAATATAAAGATTGTGTAAAACTGCCCCTCGCCCCCCTCCAACCAGCACCAAATTAGCACAAATGTATGAAATAAAATGGCAGCATCATAATTCTAAAAATTAAAAAAGCACAACTTCTGACAGAAATATTTCGTATTTTACAGATTCCTTATTATATATTTTTTATACATATACAAAGTAATCTGCAAAGTACAAAATGTTTGTGTCAGAAGTTGTGCTAAAAATCAAGCTAGGAATGTGCATAGTTTTTTTTTTTTAAATAATTTTTTGAATAATTATACAGACATTTTATTCCATACATTTGTGCTGATTCTTCTTTTTCTCTATATTCAAGGGGCACTATAGTCACCAGAACCACAACAGCTAAACATAGTAGTGCTTGTGTCTATAGCATGTCTCTGCAGGCTTTTTAATGTAAATGTATAATGTATTTGCATTACTGCCTAGGATCTAGTGGCCACTCATCAGACGGCATCTAGAGATGCAGCAATGTCATTCACAACGTGCAGCAATGTCATTCACGCTGAACACTCCTCATAGAAATGCATTGATTCAACACATCTCTATGAGGAGATGCTGATTGGTGCAGCGCAGTGTTTTGCCACGCATGCGCAATAGCCTCCCAATGCTTTCCTATGGGAAAGCAGTGGGTTGGCTGAAAAATACTCACACACTGCACATTTTTGTGTGTGTTGTGGTGGAGGGCATGATTGCATGATAGGGTGTGGGAAGGCAGAATCCAGGGTGCCCAAGTAAATTCTTGCCCAGGGCCCAATCAATATTAAAGACGGCCTTGGGCACCACCACACACACAGTAACCCTCATGGTCACATAATCATCCCTCACACACACAAAACAACCCCATCATAATCACAATGTACACAGCAAGACCACAAGCAGCCCCCCATACACACAACATACTGCAAGCAGTTTCCTCCACACATTTGCTCACTAACACAGAAATACACATACATACAGATATACACTCTCAGATGCACAAGGATACTCACTTCCTCCAAGTTCTGTAAAGATTGAATTGAGAACTGCCCCTTACCACGTGCTGCAATCACTGCTAGTACTGAATGTTCAGTTGGCACTAGCAGATATCTGGCTAAGGGCACTTCCACTGGAGATTCTGAGATTTCCCCAGTCTGTTTTAGTGTGCAGTCATGCTGCTATGCAAAGGCATCTTCCGTGCCATCTTTGGCACACATGCCATAGGTTACTAACCCCTGCCCTAAAGTCTTAACAGTTTTCTATCAACCTACATATACATAATGCAAGGGATGGTGCTCACAATTAGTTTTACATATACATATGTGGTGGGCTTTCTGAACACACAGTAGTCGTGGGTCCAAATACATGATCTTATGTATTTTTAAACAATTCCATTCCATTTTCCCAACAAATCCTCCTACTTAAACTCTTTCCAGGTCAGTATGCAGATGATGAAAGGTTTCTTAAATTCTATCACAGTCAAATTCTGGAAATCGGCAACACCACGTTCCATGGAGGACGTTTTTGCAAGCTACTCCAAGGAAACGTGATGCCTTATATGATGTCGCTCAAGGTGGATATGTGTCAACAATTTTGCATTCCAGGTTATAATGTTGTCTTACTGCACTTACCGAGTATATTCCTTTCTTCTTGATCCAAATTGTAAATCAATTATAAACTCAATTTTTATTGATCAGTGAATAAATCTATTGAACTCTATAAACATTGACAGACAGCTCCCCTTCTGCAAACCATACCACACAAACAGGAAGTAAGGCATCTAATCTTTACAAAAACCTACACCTGTAAATGTTCCTCTGAGAACTCTAAATAAATTTTGAATGAGATCACAACTCCTATACTGATTTAAATACACCGTTGATTGATCGTATTAATGCATTTTACATTAATGGATTTTTTTTCATGACTGGGAATTGATAGGAAAGAAAACTAACAAATATATGACTGCGCATATGTAGGAATCAAAGAAAAGCATCTTATAATATTCCACGCTCACTAGACAAACACCACATTTGTTTTAGTTTTCATGCCAGATGTTATAAACATGTGTTGCTCTTGACAAGCTGTGGAGCTGATAAACTATGGACTTGATAATAGATGCATATCAACTTATATACTTTGTGTATATAATATACAGATGCATTATAATGCAAGTAATCTGGGCACAATTTTTGTATCAGAAAACAGCACAAGAAAAAAAAATTTAAATTAAATATTCAGCCATCAGTTGAACACATTAATGTTCCATGCTGAATATTAAAAGCACACCTTAGGATGTATTCAAAGAGTTAATACATTAACCCCTTAAGGACTGGACTGTTTTTGCGATGTTGTACATTTGCGACCAGGCATATTTTTACACTTTTGTGGTGTTTGTGTTTTCCGCTCTCTCATTTACTGTTCCCATACAAATTATATATTGTTTTTTCAGGACAAAAGGGGCTTTCTTTACATACCATTATTTATATAATCTCATGTATTTTAATTTTAAAAAAATAAAAAAAATATGATGAAAAATTGGTTGTATAGGGAGAGGTATTAGCAGTAAAAAGAGGGAAGTGCTAATGCCATTGTACAGAACACTGGTGAGACCTCACTTGGAGTATTGTACACAGTACTGGAGACCGTATCTTCAGAAGGATATTGATACTTTAGAGAGGGTTCAGAGAAGGGCTACTAAACTGGTTCATGGATTGCGGGATAAAACTTACCAGGAAAGGTTAAAGGATCTTAACATGTATAGCTTGGAGGAAAGACGAGACAGGGGGGATATGATAGAAACATTTAAATATATAAAGGGAATCAACACAGTAAAGGAGGAGACTATATTTAAAAGAAGAAAAACTACCACAACAAGAGGACATAGTCTTAAATTAGAGGGACAAAGGTTTAAAAATAATATCAGGAAGTATTACTTTACTGAGAGGGTAGTGGATGCATGGAATAGCCTTCCAGCTGAAGTGGTAGAGGTTAACACAGTAAAGGAGTTTAAGCATGCGTGGGATAGGCATAAGGCTATCCTAACTATAAGATAAGACTAGGGACTAATGAAAGTAGTTAGAAAATTGGGCAGACTAGATGGGCCGAATGGTTCTTATCTGCTGTCACATTCTATGTTTCTATGTTTCTATGTTTCTATGTTTCTATAAAAATTGAAAAAAATACATGTTTTTTGACTTTTACTTGAAAAATCTTTTACTCATCTACAAAAGCGAATGAAAAAAACTGCTAAATAGATTCAAAATGTTGTCCTTAATTTAAAAATACCCAGTGTTTACATTCTTTTTTGCTTTTTTTTGCATGTTATAGGGCTATAGGTACAAGCAGGATATTACGGTTTCAAAACATACATTTTTTTTAAATTTATCAATAGTGACATTGTAACACTATTATCTGTCATAAATCTCTGAATAACACCCCACATGTACATATTTTTTTTTAAAGTAGACAACCCAGGGTATTCAATATGGGGTATGTCCAGTCTTTTTAGTAGCCACTTAGTCGAAAACACTGGCCAAAGTAAGCATTCATATTTGTTTGTGTGTGAAAAAAGTAAAAAAACTAAATTGAACGCTAATTTTGGCCAGTGTTTGTAACTAAGTGGTTACTAAAAAAGACTGGACATACCCCATTTGCAATACCTTGGGTTGTCTTCTTTTGCAAATGGTATGCCATCATGGGGGTAATTCTCATTCCTGGGCTACCATACGCTCTCAAAGGCAACGTAACCAACCTGGCCATTTTCAATGTAAAAATATTTGACCCTGTAACTTTCAAAAATGCTATAAAACCTGTACATGGGGGGTACTGTTTTACTTGGGAGATATCGCTGAACACAAATATTAGTGTTTAAAAACTGGAAAACGTATCACAACAATTATATCATCAGTAAAAGTGCTGTTTGTGTGTGAAAAATGCAAAAAAAAGTCACTTTCACTGACAATAGCATCGCTGTGATATGTTTTACTGTTTTGAATCACTAATATTTGTGTTCAGCGAAGTCTCCCGAGTAAAACAGTACCACCCATGTACAGGTTTTAGGGTGTCGTAGAACGTTACAGGGTAAAATACAGTGCTAGCAAATTAAATTCTCTGGAAATTTCGGCCTGGGTTGGCAGGCAGGTCCCTCAAATTGCAATCAATACAATTACTTAATTATGTAAAAATATTACAGAAATACGCACGTAGAATTTAAATATATATGCATATTTATATATTTGAAGTCTACGTGTATATTTATATAATTATTTATGTAATTTTGTATATGGACATATGTATATTTCATATTATTTTTATTTATATATACATAGATATATATACAAATTCATTCTAAATGTATTTTGATATAAATATATATATATTAATTTTAAAATACAGTTAGAATAAAATTTCATATAGATATATAATTTTTTTTCAATTTTTATTATTATTTAAAAAAAATTAATTTAATTTAAATTACTTATTATTTATATTTTATAATAATATATATATACAATATATATAGTTATTATATATATTATATATATACGTGTGTAATTTAATTATAAGTGTATTTTTATATTAATATAAGTACATATTAATATAAAAATACACTTAGTATGGCATAATATATATGATATATAGACATATATTATATATATATAATATATGTCTATATATCATATATATATATATATACACATATATAAATTTTTTTATTTTTAATTAACATTAACTTTATTTTTTTTAATGATTTTACACATGCAGGGAGACTGCCTGTCAGCACAGGCAGTCCCCCTGCAGGCAGACACATGGACACCTATTGTGACCATGTGATCGCTGTGTTGAGCGATCACATGGCCCCAGGGGTCCTATTCCAGTGTGGGGAGACTGTCTGGGCTGCAGGCAGTCTCCCCACACCGGGAGCCACGCTGATTGCCGCAGGGGGAACGACGGCGATCGGGTAAGTAACTAAGACCGTTAGGACGGTTCAGGACCGGCATCGGTCGGCAATGGGAAAATGCCGATGACGGTCCTGAACCGTCCTAACGGTCTTAGTTACTTACCCGATTAAGTAAAAAAAAATTACTGACCTCTAAATTCACAATCCAGAACATGCCTGAGATATTTTTTCCAATCCAGGCCTTTTATAACTTTCTTTGGAAGACTTGCTCAATATGTGTGCATGTAATTTCTGATTCAAACGAAAGATAAAAGCATGCAATGGCATAGTAAGTAGTTTCTTTGGCAGAAAAGAAAAAAGTAAATAAATTGTCTTGAACAATTGCTTGTTTGTTTCTTGCTGCAGATATTCCTGCATTGAAAATGATACATACCTTCTGATGGCATCAGGACTGCCATCGGGGGCGGCAACCATTACAGCTCTTCAGGGCCCGTGTCACCAGTGGGTCCAAGCAAGCCTGGGCCCTATACCTCAATTTTGTATATGTAGTATACTAAAGCGGGAGCCCGGGAGACTCCTAGTTCCATATCCTTTAGTATCTTCTAGCAAGCTGCGGCTGTAAGAGCGTTGCGGTGGGTTACTATGGCAACACTTCACACAACACACATGCCAGGTCTGCAAGAGAGTGAGAGGAACTTCTGTTTAGCTCTGAAGATGGAAGAGGTATGGGTTAATTCCCAATAGACCTCTAATACATCCTTTGATTGACTGTTTAAAAACTCACACTTTCCCTTTAATGAATACTTATCTACCTATTCACCCTATACTTTATTATATTCTGGCTCAAATATATGTCCTTAACTTTATTTTTGCTTTATTTTTTTATCCCTTTACAAGTCAGTATATATTACACATTACTATGTTTAGCATCATCTGTGACCACAGTTAATATGGCTGCTACTAACTCTCTGCCCACTGTTACTTCACAGTATTTTCCCATTAGCCACACCCCTATCCACTATACATGCCGCCCTTTATTCTTATTAAGTTTAAAATTCGAGCCCGCCCCTCACTGTGTTTGTACCGTCCACTAGAACGGCGGCCGCACATGCCCATTTACCTTACACTACATTTCCCAAGCGGCAAAATGCCGCGAATCGCATGACCACTTCCAGTCTAGCGAAACCTAGTCCCCACAATACCGCGAACTACACCCCTCGCTTTACACTGCCACCTATGAATGCGCTGGTCACGTGACCCGCGCACTACATTTCCCAACATGCAAAGCATGTTTTCACGCGAGTCACGTGACGCGCCTTACTTAAACATTTCTAAGTCCATACACCTCGTTTTTAAACATTTTCAATTGCATAAGACCCTGTATAATGTTATTTTTAATATAAACCCTTGTATTTTCTTTTACAATATATGTGATATATAACTCTGATTCTATTGGTTACTGATAAATGAAGTTTTTTTGGCGCCATTTTTTTACTTATTATGTACCTCTATATATACTCCTATCAGCTAGGTTTTTAATGTTATCCCATTTTGAAAAAGCCCTAGTGGCAAAACGCGTAAATGGTTTTATTAATTGTGTATTTCATATAATTAAAGATTTTTTGGTTACTATTTGTGCCAACTATCTTTCTACACACTTTTTTACTTTTACGTGGCATCTTATCGATTTTATCGCATGCTTACAAGCCTATCTGAGGTGGGAATCATACCACCAACGCTGTTACCATAGTGCAGTCAGCCTGCACTACACTTGTAAGTACATTTTCATTTCTAAACAACTTTTACACCTTGTTAAACAGTGAGCACTATAAGCTGTTTTTATATATCCCTTTCCTAAGAGCTGGACACCATTCCCTCCAGAGGACAATGACCCATATATCCCGTAAGCGGGAATCATTCCGCCCTACGCCTGTTATACCTGAGCTGGCTAGAGCTAATTTAAATGTGAGTGGAATATATATATATCTTTTTGTCACATATATTGACCTTTACACTCTATACGATTGGTCTCTTATCTTATGTCTTCCATATAACCAGAACAATCGGACTACTATAAACAGGAGACCCCATCATCAAAAGCACCTTAAAAGACATTTATTGCCACAGTGCAACTTCTAAATCTCTTTGGACTATTTTATATATAATACCAACTATTTTGTTTGCACTTTTATATATGTCTCATTTATATGCTTTTTGCTATCTGAAGTCCACATTGATATATTTTGGCACAGCCTTGCATTACTGTTGTTGTTCCTCCCCCTCCCAGCATGGGAAAGGGACTTCGCTCCCTTTGTCCCCCGTTCCCGGCATCCAAATCCAGGGTCTCCCGCTCCAGATGTCAGGTGGGGTCTTCATCCCAGAAGCCTCTGTACCTAGGAGTCAAAACATGCGAGACACAGAAAGCCCGCCAAACTAGCAGTGTCCCAAAAGGTGCCCACACTAACCTCAGGAACCCCCACAACGTTACCTGGCTCGAACAGCCTCCGTTCGTGAGGCCTCTGTGTGAAACCAGGCAAGGGGAGCATCTCCTTTCAGGACACAAATGCTTCCCCTGGTTGGGGTTCGTCTATACAAATGGCGGCCACCCAGAGGAGCATTAATTAATTACTTACTTTGCGGTTTCACACTTATGTTGCAAATGTTAACATTCTAATTGATTGGTGTGAACATTCCAATAGGGCACCAGGGAGGTCCTTGTTCGGGAAACGAATGAGGAGGAAAACAATTCACGAATGCTCCCCCTGGATGGCATTCGTCTATACGAAAGGGCGGCCACCCAGGGGGGGAAATGCACCAAGGCTTCTCTTGCGGTTTTGGCACTATGTCAGGGTGAGAACTTTCTAATTGACGTTCTAAAGAGCTCTCTAAATGGGCCATTGGGGTGGTCCCCATTCGGGAGGATTCTCTTTGTGGAAGCACTCCTGAACAGGGAGCGTAAACAATACGTGAACACATAGGGCAACACACATAATAAAGAGAGGGGAAATATATGAACAGCAGCAGTTCCGCCATATTGCCTATGTACAATACTGTGTTGCATTATCTCCTTTTTCTGTCCAGGAATTTTCTTAGAATAGGTTCCCTTTTTGTTTTCTTCTAATAACACAATCACACTTGGCCATGCCCCACACAGTTACACTCAACCAATCACACAAAATTACACTCAGCCAACTCTAACACATAATCACATTCAGTCAGCCCTCACACATACATATACACAATCACACTTAGACAATTCCACAAAAATATCTCATGCTCAGCTAACACCCGCATAATGACACATGGTCATGGTCAGTACACAAATTACACTTAGGGGTATTGCTTAGGTGGAGCAAGGAGGGACGATGAGAAGGGCCCTTCTTTTATTCTTCCACCGGGGCCCTGTGGTTCCTAGTTATGCCCCTGGATATGGCCACATTGCATAGAGTATGTAATTAAAGTATTCATATAGTCAGCAACCAAGCTTAGGTACTTGGTGGAACTAACATTATGCTTAACTGAATATAATTATCATAAGTGATCATGTCTTTTTCATAGAGGTTCTTTTTAAAATTTATTTTAGACCAATTGGCAGGTCATCCACATTCTTTAACTTCGAAACGCCATACGCACATATAGCAGAAAAAAATACACTCTCAATGGGTGAGCATGTTTGTTTCATTTGTGATTTGGAGTTTCATCCATGGTATAAATAAAAGAGATGCCTGATGGGAAAAAAGATGATAGCTAGGGGACAGTCACTAAATGTTGATTATTTTTTTTACAAATCAAGTGAGAAGTAACCAATTGAGAGAAAAAAGGCTGCACAGTATAAAAATATATATTGATATATTATATATGTAATATAGGTATACAGATATAGATTTTTTCACTCTATTCGTTTTTATCACTTGATCTGTGAACCAAATGGTGTGAAAATGTGACTGTGATTTGATTATACTGAATTTTTACACCAGGCATAAGTCTAATGCATATCATGACAACAACTAGGAAAACAAGCAATATGACCAGGTGTTGCCCTAGTGTGGTGTGCTCACATCATGTTTCATGTCAGGTTATATACACTAAACAATAAATACAATTTTATGAAAAAAGATATAAGTACATGTTTTTTTTATTGGCATATACCATATGTTACTGGTAACGAGAGAAAAAGAAGAAAAAGTAGAGAAGAGAGAGAGGATGAAAGAGAGATAGTCTATGAGAGTTATTTGTTAAAATGAGAATTCAAAGAGAATCCAAAGTGAATTTCAAATTTCAGGCCAGAATAGCTGATATGAACGCATAGCCAACTTTTTCCAGCCCAGCTAGTTTGACCTTGATATTGAAATTGACTTTGAATTCTCACTTTAGTGAATAACCCTGTTTGTACACATATAAATATATAGTGACTGTGTAAGGCCATTATGAATTGGTGACCTAGCGCAACCCCAGCAAAGTGATAAGTGTCAAAGGATTAACACTGTAGAAAAATGTGAGATACTGTTAGCTACAGTGAAATATTTGGTAATAAAAACACAAGTGGACTGATGTTTTAATAATGCATATTATGTGAAACTGTACAGAAATAAATATCACACTGTGGGTACAGAAAATAAATGAGACATAAAGTCAGATAGAAAGCGGCAATTTAAATACATTCATGATATACTATGCATAGCTAGAAACTCCAGTAGACAAGGTCTCAACCAAAGTACCCTGTTTTTTTCTTTTTACCAAACTGAGAATAGTTTGGAACTAATCAGGAAAATTAAAATCTTAAAATGTACTCAAACTGAAATAGATTTCCAGCTTAGCTATTCTTTTATCTCAACTTGTTTAGCCTACAATTCTCCCATGTGAATTATCCTCAATTCGATCCTTAGGAAATACAAATTACAATCTTCAAATAAATCCTTAATTTTCTTGGTTTCTTGCCCCCAATCCTCAGCCTTTGGCCTATTCTTTACTAATCTGTTTGTTACTGTTTAATCCATTCTATGGTCTGGTAATACGCTATAGTATTCTGGTTATATTTTATTTTGTTAATTTAACCCCTTAAGGACACATGACATTTAATCCCTTTAATTCCAGAAGTTTGGTCCTTAAGGGGTTAAAAAGACACTATAGTCACCAAAACAACTTTAGCTCAATAAAGCAGTTTTGGTGTATAGATCATGGACCTGCAGTCTCAGTGCCTAATTCTCTGCCATTTAGAAGTTAAATCACTTTCATTATGCACCTTAGTCACACCTCCCTGCATGTGACTTACACGGCCTTCCTAAATACTTCCTGTAAACAGTCATCTAATGTTTATACATCCTTTATTGCAAATTCTGTTTAATTTTAAATTTCTTATACCCTGCTTTGCTTGCTAGACTCTGCAGGAGTCTCCTGTGTGTGATTACAGCTCAATTTAGAGAACAAGAGATAAAAAAAAAGTTACATCTGATTGAAAATTAAACCATTTCAGTAACAGCCAGGGGAGGTGTGGCTAGGGCTGCATAAACAGAAAAAAAGTGATTTAACTCCTAAACTTCAGAGCCATTATCTGAACTCCACAACTGCTTCATTAAGATAATGTTGTTTTGGTGACTATAGTGTCCTTTTTAGTTCTGCTTGTTGGGTATTAATTAAATCCTAACACCAGAACTGCGAATTTCAATGCGCTTTACTCTAATCCTCATTCCTTTTTATTATTGTGGCCCACTTATTCCCCCTCTCTCTCATTTATACTTTTCCATATTCCCATGCAGCACTTCCTATGTATCTCTCAGGTTTCTGTCCAAGGGTAGTAGATTGTTTGTTCAAAAGTAGTTGTTTTTGCCTTCTACAGGTTGCTTCTCACTTATT